TTTGAAAAGAGACCTGAAGCCTGTCTTTCCTTCATTTGCGCTCCGCCCTCCTACATTGCTGTCTAACGGCCTTGGTGACATCACTCAGCCACGGTTCTGCTCTGAGTTTTGATTTTTTGGTTTTAGCAGGCGCAACATGATCCAGAGTCTTTAAGCAGACAGAGTTGAACTGGGATGTCAGCTCCTCAGTAGTGGTGAGAAACTCCGGGGGCTGAATTATTATTTCAGAGTTATAAACATCTGTGAAACGTGCGTCAGTGAAATGGTTAATGGCCCGGCTGCTACGTGCAGGAATGCACGGTTTAGGAGTTAGATTGGGGAGGGTAAACTCAAACTGGACAGGCATGTGGTCTGATAAAACATTATCACAAGATTCAAGATTTCTAACAGTCACATCCCGAGTTAAAACAAGGTCCAGCATATGTCCTCGCTCTTGGGTGGGACCGTTTACATGCTGAGTCCAATAAATCTAAAAAGTCCTTAACAGACAGTTTGGTGGCAATAATTCCGTAAAGGCGCTGGATTCACCCAGAGGAACAGAGGAGGAGATCTCAGATTTCATCTTTCAAAAACTTATAAAGCAGCTTTAGGACTGATATCCAGTCAGTTTTCACACCTGTCAGATGTAACCAGAGAGACCACATCTGTGAATTAGATTAACAAAGACCTCAACAAACACCTACTATAAGGTGTTATAAGTCAATCTGCATATGTATGTGTGTATCTTATTTCAGCTTTATAACCTGAACCCCACACTCTCTGCTCTTTGAATTGAGAAATCTTCCTTGATGAGAAGCAAAACGTCTTCTGTTACAAATAAAGTCCAGTTGTTTTTGTCTAGAATTTTTTTTAATTTACCATGTCCTGGATGACTGAAAATCTCCACCAGCTTACTTCATAAATTTTAACAAAACTTTCTAAACATGGATATTAGATGTACTTAGACAACTTACTGCCTTCTGGAATCATCTGGATTTAAGCTGGTTGCCACTGTTGAGGAACTTCGGGAAGCAGAAAATGTTCTATCATTCAGCCATATTTACAGCTGCTATAACGAGAGCTGATGCGGACCCCGAGCTAGTACAACTAGCTGTTGCTAGCCATGGGCCTCAGGCCTCTTCTTGGACCCCAGGTCCACCTCCAGCCCACGCTGCCCTCCCAGCTCGGACCTCCCTCAGAAGCAACAACTCATACTATCAATAAGTCAAGGAAACGTGAATTAAATTTAACCAATTGTATTAAATCAAGGCAGGAGAAGGTTGCAGTTTACAGCGCTGGCCAGTCCAATACATGACGCGGGATCCTGCACCGGAAGGCCAGATGTCCCATGGCATTACAGCTATATAGGGCCTAGATTCTTCCTTTGCGGAAGGGGAGCACAGCCTATCACATGAATGAGGGGCCAGACGGTGCTCTGTGATCTCACTGGATCTTATGTGGTTTTGACGTGTAAGGAAAAATTATACTGGTGCAGAAAAAGTATTTGTACGCAATGCAGCTAGCCAATAAAAAACTCTATTCCTTGACGGATATTGAATCCCTGGAAGACTCTTTTTAGAGTTGCTGGCCTCGTTTAAACCATTCAGAACCAGCTCATAATTTCATTACAATCCCGTCTCTGAGTTTATCAAAAACCTAGGGTCAGTCTACATAAAAAATACCTATACAGATATTGAGCTATCGTGGTAGTATTTGAGTCATCCCCAACATATGTTTTAAGCGCTAACTGATTGTACAATATCTTTGTTTGAAATGTTAACATGCTTTGTAGTGACTGATATGCATTCTTGAATGAAACACCATTTTCATATTTATTTTCTCTTTCTATGTCAATGAGCCTAACTTTTCATTTTTTTTTCTCATAGGAAAACTTTTCCGTCCCAGCATGCCACTCTGTCTGGATTTGCTGCCATTTATATTTCTGTAAGCACGTGATTTGCTTCTTATGACCAAGCTACTTTTGCACAATGTGTCTGTGAGTGTGTGTGTTGTTTTAACTCTTAAATAATGTTATAACCAGATGAGATAGTTTTTTTTATACTGAGTGAAATAATAAAATAAGTTACCACACCACAATGGTGTTACTTATACAATGCTGTTATTGCTAGTATCACTCAGCCTCCTGTGAATAGCAAACAGCCATCAGGGTGCTAATTGTCCATCGTTAGGCTGATGGTCCTTCTTGGTCATGTGAGCAGCTGGTTTTGGTTGTCAGCAGCAAACTGGTTGATCCACTCTGAGACAGTGCTGTTTATAAGACTGAGCTGAATACAGAACCTCAGACTGAAGAAGTCTCAGATGAAAGACAAAACATTTATAAATGTTTTTGTTATTTTGCTTTATTTTGTTTTTTGAATGTCCAGAGGACCAGATTTAACTTTTTTTTAAAGATTTTTTTTACCTGGATTATTGAGCATGCATCAGGTTACCACACCACAGATTTTTAGGACAACACACAGGGACCTAGATATTAGAAGAGTTCACATTGAAAATACATTTAGTAAACATTTCTTATTGGATTAGCTTTTTGTAGTCTGGCACTGAAAACATCAATTTGTAAGCTGTGTGACAAATTAATACTGTTATTTTCCCACCTGGCAGCACATGCACAACCTCCTTCGCCAGTATTTATTATTAGCTACTGGCCTTATTGTGCTGTTTCACTGGGCCTGTCATTAAAACTCACGACACTGACAAAACGTGTGTAAAAAGAGGAGGAAATCGGATGATCTGATGTCACAGCATTTTATCTATCTAACGATGCATGCTCAGTAATGGTAAATGAACTGAACTTATATAGTGCTTTTCTATCTTATCAAGATACTCAAGGTGATATAAAACACAACCTGTGCCCTCATTTACCCATTCATCCAGCACTCTACTAGATCTATGCAAAGCTAATCTGAATCTGTAGAGACTTATAAGTGCTTTTTCACATTCATACACTGATGGGACACAGAACAGAGGCAATGAGGGGTTCAGTGTCTTGCCCAGGGACATTTCGATTGCTGGTGGAATCGAAGCCCCAACTCGTGCATTGGAGGCCAAATGCTCTAACCACTCAGCCACAGCCGCCCAATCCATAATCCAAGTAGCCAAATCTAAAAAAGTGAAGTGAAGTCTTCTGGATGGTTTCTTCTTGTTGAAACATTTAATCTTTTATCCAAAAGACTTCTTCAGTCGGAGGAGCTGCAATAAACTCAGTCTTATAAATAGCACCTTCTCATAGTGGATCAACCAGTTTGCTGATGACATCCAGAACTAGCTGTTCTCTTGTAAACGAGGACCATCAGCCTAACAACTGATCAGTAGTGTCCTGATGGCTGCCATTATGCTGTTATTGCTAGCATTACTCGGCCCTCTGTGAATAGCAAGCAACCATCAGGGCACTAACGATCCATTGTTAGGCTTATGGTCCTCCTTTATCATGTGACAAACTAGTTCTGGATGTCAACAACAAACTGGTAGATCCACTATGAGAAGATGCTATTTATAATATTGAGGTTGTTGCAGCTCCTCAGACTGAATAAGTCTTTTGGATAAAATAGGAAATGTTTCAGCAAGAAGAATCCATCCAGAGGACCTGACTTGACTTTTCTGGAGAGGCACATATAACTTGATTCATCTTAGCCCACCATATTAGAACATTGTCAATAAAACACACTATGTTTATTAATTTTATTAGTTTCAAAGTACAGAAAACTAAACAAACACATATTAAAAAAGTTCATGAGGGAAGCTACACTGAATGTGAGTGAAACTTATCCCTCTTGCTTCAAGAAAAGAAGGATTTTTGTGCTCAGTAGTCCATGGACAAACTTTTTTTTCATGGTTGTTTTTGCTAAGCCTGCCAATATATCACTCAGCTTTCCTCTAATTTTATGCAGTGAAAAAACAGTCTGCATGCTCTGAATGTGAATGGACAGAAAATTAATTCTTAGATTATTTTCTGTCCATCCTGTGAACCCATCACCTCGATTTTGGTGTCAAAAGACGTCAGTCCAGCCAGCTATGTGTGTCATTCCTGTTTTGTGAGCCAAAAGCTACAAGTAGATATACATTGTTGTAATATGTACTATTTATGTACAAGTAAGTTACTTTTGCTTATACAGTAAATGTGAGGTAACTCTTGAGACATGACTAATTAAAACAAAAACAAAAAACAAGTTCAGAAAATAAACTGGTTATATCTGTTCTTTTTCATAGTTTTTAAAATCTAGAGCTAGCTTATGTAAATTCTTATCAAATATAATGACAATTTTAGTGACCTTAATTCACTGTTTTCTTTATATTTATGGAAATCAAGTGCACACTCTCTCTTTACAAGTGAGAGCAAATCCATGCCTGCTGTATATCAAATAACACAATAAGCAAAACTAACTGTTGTAATTCTTTGTAATGAAAACAAATAGGAATTGTGTTTTATTTATCATCTAACATGTCAAACTGTTAAAAAAATTCAATCATTTTATTATACACTTAGTGACACAAAAAGGTTCAACATCCAGACTGAGTGGTGAGCATGAAACTGTTAAAATGGCTTTGGATTATGATGTAATAGCTGGTCCTATCCAGGTGTCATGGGGTTCTTTAATTATTGTCACATCATGTCTGTCTTGAGTGACCAGACATTTCACATGCTCGGATGCACTCAGATACCCTTTAGTTCAAATATTGGACTTCTGTACATCTGTATGCCTCACATTCCAGGCAATAGTATAATACAAGTACCTGGTCTCATTCAAATCTAGAACGTAACCTCTATAAAACTCCATGAAGTGCATATAATGCTGCATGATCCCTCTGTAATTCATCTGCTGTGCTTGCTGACCTCCACTCACTACTGACTGGCCCTTCCTTCTGGGCCTTTTTTGTCATTGACTGTATTTTCTAAATACTGAATTTACCAAGTGCAGTAGGTTTCTACCTTTCATTTTGGTGTCTTGCATTTGTTTGTCTAAAAATTTATTCTTTGCCATTGTGTGTTTTTCTCATTGAAGATGTATTTCAATGCCAGCATCAACAGCACAACCAAGCTGCTCAAGCCCCTGCTGGTGTTTACTTTCTGCTTGATGGCGGGCCTTGCTGGTCTGACTCAGATAACGCAATACCGCAGCCACCCAATAGATGTCTACGTGGGATATCTGATAGGAGCTGGCATTGGTGTCTATCTGGTTGGTATATGACAATCATAGAGACATGATATACAGTACCTCTCTATTTCTCTATCTCTATATTAATATATATATATATATAGCTCCATACCTCTCTGTCATTATCTAATGACATATCTCTCTATCTCTATATTTATCTACATACCTCTCTATCTCTTTATCTAACTCCATATATCTATATCAATCTCACTATATCTATCTCCATCTTCTGAATCATAATTTATGGATTTGGATTTGTTCAGTTGGTCCCTCAACGCAATTGATAACATTTCTTCGAAGAGAAGACAGGCTTTAGGTGAGCCGATTTGCCATGTTGGCACACACGCAGGTGGATAGCTCATCTACTTGGAAGACTTGATGATGTATCTATCTTTGCGCTCATTTGTGGATTTTAATGACACCTATAATAGGATTTATGATAACTGGTTCCTTGCTTTTTGGATTTGGCTGGTTCCTGGTTTATCTACAATCAAGGAAGTCATCAGCAACAAATTTGGTCCTGGTCAGGCTGCTTGCCTTACATGATGGTATGGTTTGTGCCTCGAGTACCCAGACTCAAATGCTTTTAGCAGGATGGATCAGATCTCAGGGATTACTCTCAGGCACAGTCCATTGGTGTGGCCATTTAATTTGGACGTTTTGGAACCGAGTGGACCGACACAGACTCAAGGTAGATCTCATTAAAGTTCTGCCTGTCCCCAAAACAATTGTGTTTATCTGAATTTGGCTCCCTGACTGGCCTTGACAGGCCATCTTATCTTAATTCACTTGGAAGTTTTGAAAATCTGATGCGCTACCCCTGCCCCCTCCCACTGAGGAATTTCATGGACTTTTCAGAGGGGCCCAGCTGAATAAACATTCTGTCACCTGTTAAACCTATATCTCTATATCTAGCTCTATACCTATCTGTCTATTTATATCTATATCTATCTCTTTCAGGTGTAACTCAGAGAAGTGAGGCCTATTCATGCCCACTAATGGGAAAAAATCCTGCAAATTAAAAAATGGCACTTTCTTTATGAAATACTTTTAGTGAGGGCTATTCAACTGTCAGCTTGTGGGCCACTTCCGGTCCACAGGTGACTTGTCTCCCCTGTCAATGTGCCCAAATGGCACATAATTTAAAACTCCCAAGTTCAACACCACAGGAGATGCACTGAACAAGCAACTACTTTCATATCTATAAGTGTGTATGTATGTAAATTAAGCCTATATGTGCTTTAAAACTACTTCCGGCAGTCTCGTGGACCCTCCAGTCTCAGGTCATCATATCTCCGGTAGTCTTTGGGTGTGATGTAATATTTATGGAAAATCTATAACATTTTCTGTCACTAATAGGACATTTTTAGTATAAGGGATGCAACAAAGGCTTCTAAGGTCATAGCTTTAATTCTGATCTAACAACATGCAGTCAGTTATTGTAGACCTAATTACAGGATCTCTTCATCCTCTCAAGGGCCCTCGTCCTCTCCTGGTCCATCTCCAACCTCCCCCAGTCTGATGGTCTCTTCCTCATCTTCCCATAAAAGCACCCCCCTCTGTCAGCAGGGGCATTTGATAGGCAGGGGGTGATCCAAGATACCTCAAGTCAATGTCCCCATAGCTCGCTCGATAAACCTAATTAAAAGGGTTCAAGAACAGAAGACGCAACAACATCCACACAATACAAAAATGGCTAATGGTGCCCAAGCTCCCTATTAGGGATCCCCATTTTGATGGGATGCGAGGTGGCATCTAACTGCCCAGGTGTAGCCTCAGATCCATCCCTAGTGTGTTTTATTTATCTCTGCACATCAATTAATCAATATATTCACTTATTTATGCACCTTTGTTTTAAAGTACTATGTAGTTTTACCTTTGAAATCATACTTCCATCATACTTCTGTTATTTCTATCTGTTAGGATAATTTAATATTATCCTTTTCGCTTAGTAAATAAATATGCCACACTGAACCGAGTAGACAATTTTCTTAATCCCAGTTTAATCTTGCAAGATGGAACAGTGTTGAAATACAAGCATCAAGATGTTTACATGGCACTTTTTTCCAAGTCTGCTCACCAATAGCATTAAAGATTGTCTTTTTATAATGGTTATCGGTCAGACTCGAGGTCAGACAACTCTTTCAGCCTCTTTGTGTAGGGCCTTGAGTTTATGAGCTGAAAGTCCCATGCTTCTGCAGCTCCACTCTGTCTAGACAAAACACTCTAACACCACTCATGGTTCATATACATATGCCATACCATACCATAGCATACCATTCCATCCATTATCTTCCACTTATTCCTAAGTCGGGTCACGGGGGCAGCAGCTTGAGCAGGGAAGCCCAGATTTCTCTTTCCACAGCCACCTCTTCCAGCTCTTCTGGAAGGATTCTAAGGTATTCCCAGGCCAACAGAGAGACATAGTCTCTCCAGCATGTCTTGGGTCTTCACTGGGGTCTACTCCCAGTTGGACATGCCTGAAGCACCTCCCTAGGGAGGCACCCAGGGGGCATCCTTACCAGATGCCCGAACCACCTCAACTGGCTCGTCTCAAGTCAAGTCACATTTATTTATATAGCACATTTAAAACTGTAACTGTTATCAAAGTGCTCTCGACATGAAGGAGTAGCGGTTCTACTTCGAGTCTCTCCCGGATAACTGAACTTCTCACCCTATCTCTAAGGAAGAGTCCAGCTACCCTGTGGAAAAAAAAACTCATTTCAACCTCCTGTATCCGTGATCTCATTCTTTCGGTTACTATCCAGAGCTCATGACCATAGGTGCGGGTAGGAACATAGACCGACTGGTAAACAGAGAGCTTTGCCTTACAGCTCAGCTCTCTCTTCACTACAAAGGACCAAACCAAGCCAAACCAAACTCTCACACCACTTGTATAGGGACTGAACAGCCTGTAACAATGGGTCTCCAATCTCATACTCATGGAGCACCCCCCACAGTGTACCTTGAGGACCACGGTCGAATGCCTTCTCCAAGTCCACAAAACACATATAGACTGGATGGGTAAACTCCCATGACCCCTCAATAACCCTAGTGAGGCTAAAGAGCTGATTCAGTGTTCCACAGCCAGGACAACAGAACCCACATTGTTCCTCCTGGATCTGAGGTTCGACCAACAATCGTACTCGCTTCTCCAGTATCCCTGAATAGACCTTACAAGGGAGGCTAAGGAGAGTGATGTCCCTATAATTGGAGCACACCCTCTGGTCCCCCTTTTTAAAGAGGGGAAACACCACCCCAGTCTGCCAATCCAGTGGCACTGCCCCCGATGTCCACACGACATTGCAAAGATGTGTCAGCCAAGACAGCCCCACAACATACAGAGCCTTAAGGAAATCAGGGTGAATCTCATCCACTCCTGGAGCCCTGCCACCTCAGAGATTTTTAACTACCTCGACGACCTCAGCCAAGGTTATGGACGGATCAACCCCAAAGTCCCCTGACTCAACTTCCTCCATGGAAGATGAATTAGTGAGATTGAGAAGGTCCAAGAAGTATTCCTTGCACCTCCTGACGACATCACTGGTTGAGGTCAACAGCACCCTACTTTCACTGAACAAGTCAAGTCAAGTTTATTTATAGAGCACATTTAAAACAGAACCTGTTATCAAAGTGCTTAACAACAACAACAATCAATGGGAGTAAAATTAAAGAGAACAAAAATACACTAATAATAATAACTGAAGAATTAATAAAAAGCATTTAAAACATAGGGTCATAGAACAAAAAAAAACACTAGATCAATTTACACTGTGTAAAATGCCTGCGAGAACAGATGTGTTTTTAGCAGGGATTTGAAGTGAGGAAGGGAGGTGGCCTGCCTGATGTTGGAGGGCAGGTTGTTCCAGAGTTTGGGGCCCATGACTGAAAAAGCCCGATCTCCTCTGAGTTTCAGTCTTGTTTTTGGAACAGCCAAAAGCAGATGATCAGATGATCTCAGGGCCCGAGAGGGAACGTAAGGTTCCAGTAGCTCAGAGAGGTAAAGGGGTGCAAGGCCATTTAAGCATTTGAAGGTCAACAGAAGAAATTTAAAGACTATCCTAGTACGAACAGGGAGCCAGTGAAGGGAGGACAGAACTGGTGTAATACGTTCAGACCTACGCTTACTAACACTGAACACAGTGTTAGTAAAGTGCTGCTTTCCCCTCCTCAGCCGCCTGATGGTTTGCCATAATCTCCTCGGAGCTGACCGAGAGTCTCTATCCAGGGTCTCACCGAACTCCTCCCACATCCGAGCTTTTGCCTCAGAAACAGCCAAGGCTGCACACCGCTTTCCCCTCCGGTATTCCTTAGCTGCCTCCAGAGTCCCACTGGCCAACAAGGCCTGATAGGCCTTCTTCAGCTTGACAGCCTCCCTAACCCGGGGTGTTCACCACCAAATTTATGGATGGTCACTGCGAGAAGCACCAATAACCTTGTGGCCACAGCTCACGGCAGCTACCTCAACAAGCGAGGTGCAGAACATGGCCCACTTGGACTCAATGTCCTCCACCTCAGCTGGGATGCAGTTAAAGTTCTCCCAGAGGTGTGAGTTGAAGATCTCTCTGACGGGTTCTTCTATCAGGCGTTCCCAACAAACCCTCACTACGCGTTTTGGTCTACCGGGTCTGTCAGGCATCTTCCCCCGCCATCTGATCCAACTCACTACCAGGTGGTGATCAATTGGCAGCTCAGCTCCTCTCTTCACCCGAGTGTCCATAACAAACGGCCGCAAATCAGATGACATGACTATGAAGGCAATCATTGATCTTTGACCTAGGGTGTCCTGGTGCCAAGTGTACTATGGACACCCTTATGTTCGAACATGGTGTTCGTGATGGACAAACTATGACTAGCGTAGAAGTCAAGTCAAGTCAACTTTATTTATAGAGCACATTTAAAACAGAAAATCTTATCAAAGTGCTTAACAACACAACAATCAATGAGTAAATTAAAGAGAAAAAAATATACAAACATATATAAACAATACACTAATAATAATAACTGAAGAATTAAAAAAGCATTTAAAACATAGGGTCACAGATTATCCCTCCTTGGGCTGCCACCTTACCGTGGTGGAGGGGTTTGAGTGTCCAAATGATCCTAAGAACTATGCTGTGCTATGCTATGCTGTCAGGGGCTTTACGCCCCTAGTAGGGTCACCCATGGCAGACAGGTCCTAGGTGAGGGACCAGACAAAGTGCAGCCCAAAAACCCCGATGGTGAGAAAAATAAACGGACCTAATGTTCCCTTGCCCGAATGTGGGTCACCGGGGCCCTACTCTGGAGCCAGGCCTGGAGGTGGGATATGCGGACGAGCGCCTGGTGGCCAGGCTTTTACCCATGGAGCTCGGCCGGGCACAGCCCAAAGAGGAGATGTGGGTCCCCCTTCCCATGGGCTCACCACCCGTGGGAGGGGCCAAAGGGGTCGGGTGCAATGTGGGATGGGTGGTGACCGAGGGCGTGGACCCTGGTGGTCGATCCTCGGCTACAGAAGCTGGCTATTGGGACATGGAATGTCACCTCACTGGTTGGGAAGGAGCCTGAGCTGGTGTGTGAGGCTAAGAGGTTCCGGCTAGAAATAGTCTGACTCACCTCTACGCATGGCTCTGGCTCTGGAACCAGTTTCCTTGAGAGGGGCTGGATACTCTTCCAATCTGGAGTTGCCCCTGGTGAGAGGCGCCGAGCAGGAGTGGGCATACTTGTTGCCCCCCAACTTGGTGCCCGTGTGTTGGGATTCACCCCAGTGAATGAGAGGGTGGCCTCCCTCCACCTATGTGTGGGGGGACGGGTTCTGACTGTCATTTGTGCTTATGTACCAAATGGCAGTTCAGATTATCCACCCTTTCTGGAGTCCTTGGAGGGGGTACTGGAAAGTGCACCTCCTGGGGACTCCCTTGTTCTGCTGGGGGACTTCAATGCTCATGTGGCCAATGACAGTGAGACCTGGAGGGGTATGGTTGGGAGGAACAGCCCCCCTGATCTGAACCAGAGTGGTGTTCTGTTGTTGGACTTCTGTGCTCGTCCTAGATTGTCAATAATGAACACCTTGTTCAGGCATAAGGGTGTCCATATGTGCTCTTGGCACCAGGACACACTAGGCCGCAGTTTGATGATTGACTTTGTCATCATCTCATCTGATCTGCGGCCACATGTCTTGGACACTCAGGTTAAGAGAGGGGTGGAGCTGTCCATTGATCACTACCTGGTGGTGAGTTGGCTCCTATGGTGGGGGAGGATGCTGGTCAGACCTGGCAGACCCAAACGTATTGTGAGGGTTTGCTGGGAACGTCTGGCAGAGTCTCCTGTGAGATGGAGTTTTAACTCCCACCTCCGAGAGAACTTTGAACATGTTCCGAGGGAGGTGGGGGACATTGAGTCCGAGTGAACCATGTTTCGTGCCTCTATTGTCAAGGTGGCTTACCGGAGCTGTGGTCGCAAGGTTGTCGGTGCCTGTCGCGGCGGCAACCCTCGAACCCGATGGTGGACACCGTCGGTGAGGGATGCTGTCAGGCTGAAGAAGGAGTCCTATCGGGACTTTTTGGCCTGTGGGACCCCAGAAGCAGCTGATGGGTACCGGCAGTCCAAGCGACATAAATGAAAACTATGTTCTTCAGGATTTTGGACAGGAAGTGAAGTTTTGAGATTGGTCTGAAATTTGAACAAGCTGAAGGGTCAAGTCCAGGTTTCTTAAATTAACGGATGCACTACTGCATATTTGAAAACATCAGGAACCACACTTGTCACAATACTACTATTTACAATAGTAAGAACAGAGGGTCCAATCGTGGGTAGAAATTGTTTGAAAAACGACGCAGGAATGGGGTCAGAGGGGGAACCGGTGGGTTTCATCTGATCAATGACTTTGTTTAGAAATGGGAGTGAAATGGGTTCAAACTGTTTGAAGACAGCTGAGCAAGGGACAAAAACAGAGGGATCAGTTGTGGACAGGGGGATGGATGACCTAATCAACTCTACCTTATCAGCAAATTATCTGGTAAAGTTGTTGCAGATGTCAACAGAGGCCTCCATGCTGGCAGACCGAGGCACTTTTAAAATGGAATTTACGGTATTAAAAAGAACATGGGGATTATGACTGTTTAAAGCAATGATTTGGGAGAAGTATTTGTTCTTTTCAGATTTAACAATGCTCTGATAATCATTCAAACATGTTTTTAACATAATAAAAGAAACCTGTAATTTGTCCTTTTTCCACTTGCGTTCAGCTCTCCTGCATAGATGTTTGGCCGCTCGAGTGGTCGCGTTCAACCAGGGGTGTGGTGCCCGCTTTGGTAGCCTGATTTTAGCGGGACTACGAGGTCTAAGATCTTAGAGCAGTTCGCATCATTCCTACTGAGCAGCTCCTGCGTACTAGTACAGGTAGAGGTTTCAGGGGCTGAAGCAGCATCAGTAAGGAATGCAGAGGAAAAAAGAGTAGCGGTTGAAGAGTTAAATACCTGACAACTCTTGGCTGGAGCGGGGGATTTAGACCCATGAATAACAGAGGTTTGGAATGAAATGGGTTTGTGATCTGAAACAATAGCATCCCCAATTTCCAGATTAACCACAGATGCACCGTGAGACAGAACTAAATCAAGTGTATGGCCCTGTTGATGAGTTGGACCAATAACATTTTGCACAAGGTTGAAAGATTGTATCAGATTTAGAAACTCCTGCACCAAAGGCTTGTCAGGACAGCAAACGTGCACATTAAAGTCTCCCTGAATCAAGACCCTGTCGTAATTGAGCAGTATTCCAGAAAGAAAGTCAGAAAATTCACTTATGAAGTTTTTGTTGTATGAGGGTGGCCTGTAGGTCAAGCAGCACAGTGTTGGGTTGGAGCAGCCCAGCTCAAAATACAGCAGTTCAAAACTCTGAAATGTCACAGCCTGTAGCTGTCTGCAGTTCCAGAGCTTTTTAAAAACTGTTAATAATCGATCACCCCTACCAGAAGTCCTTGGAGCATTAAAAAAGGTACAATCCATCAGCAAAAGTTCAGAAAAAACACTTAACTCACCAGGGACGAGCCAGGTCTCTGTAACAAACATGAAGTCCAGTTCATTGGAGCAAAAAAAGTCGTTTAAGATGAATGTTTTATTTGCCAGCGACCTCACATTCAGCAGAGCAATCTTTGTAGGACCAGTTGCTGAAGGTAAAGCTGTGCTCGGAGCACAGCTCAGCTGTTTCAGATTCCTGGAGTTTGAACTGCGCCTCCAAGGACCAGAGACGTCGCAGCTGTGCGCGCACCCATGACGCGAGCCAGGCTCGAATACGGGGATCAGGCAGGACCCAGCAGGATCAGCGAAGCACCCGGACAGGCGAATATCCAGCAGATGGTCTGCAGGAGATGATGCAGCAGAAGGTCCGGAGTTGGTTAAGTTCCACTGGAGACAGCCGAAACCACCGTGCCTGCTGCACGTACCAGGCCCGGGCACCTGGAGCGAGCTGGAGTTGAGTGGGTCAGCAAAGCATCCGGATGGACAGTTTAATGTCTGATGGTCAGTAGCAGAGAGCTCAAAGCTGGCTTTAATCCTCACGAGACGGCCGGCACGTCTCCCACGGCGCCTCGAGCGATGTTTTCGGGCGGGTAGAAACGCAGCGCTCTTCAGGTAAACCGGGACATCAACAAGCAAAGGGGGTGGGGGTCTAGAGCCCTGATCAAAGTGGTCGAACAAGGCGGGGTTTGCAGTAGATAAATGTATATTTAAAAGTTGATGGCGATCATAAACAAGCAGTGAGTTGATGTCACCAAAGAAAAATTACAAAAACAGAAAAAAAAAACAATCCAAACAGACAGCGGTGAATGGCATGCCACCAGCACCAGCGCCATCTTCCCGGAAGTCCACAAGTCTAACAACAGAACACAGCTTGGGTTCAGATCAGAGAGGTCGTTCCTCCCAGTCACGCCCCTCCAGATCACACTGTCATTACCCACGTGGGCAATGAAGTCACATAGCAGAATAAAGGAGTCCCCAGCTGGCGCACCTTCCAGCACCCCTGCCATAGACTCCAAGAAGGCCGGATACTCTGAACTGCAGTTCGGCACATAGGCACAAATAACAGTCAGAGCCCGTACCCCCACCGGAAGGTGACGAGAAGCCATCCTTGTCCATACCATTTTATTTATAGAGCACTTAAAACAGTGACAAGGCCAACCAAAGTGCTGTACAAACAGAAAACAGGCAACACACAAAGCAACATACAAAATGGAGTAAAATCAGAATATAGACACAAAATCATAGCAGATAATAAATATAACCATTAACCTGTTTGAAGCATACAGGTTCAAACACATATCATCTAATGATGAAAGCTACGGAATAGTAGTAAGTTTTTAAGCGGGATTTGAAAACCGAGAGGGAGGGGGCCATCTGATGAGCAGAGGTAACTCGTTCCAAAGTCTTGGGCCTGCGACAGAGAAGGCCCTGTCACCTCTGTGCTTAAGACAGGTTGCTGGAACTGTGAGAAGCAACTGGCCTGCTGACCTCAGAGAACACGGTGAAACATACGGCATCATTGTTCTACTTGGTTTATTAAGTAAAGGATGTCTGGCCCCTGAGCTGCTGGCTTTCAGTAACTATGGCCCCTTGGGCAGTTTAGATGAATAGATCTGCTTTGGGTGTTTCTGTCTCATTATTTAATTCCACTTGCATGTCTTATTTCTCTGTTAGGCTGTGTACGCTGTGGGAAACTTCAAAGCAGCAGAGGAAGATAATCCATCTTTGCAGAGATTGGATTCAGTCCAGCAGAAGGAAAGCCTGAGAGTCTTGAGCCAACACAACCATGATTCCCTGTATAGGAAGACTCCCAGGGTGTCTGAGAGCAGGGAAGAGCTAGGGGCTGGGCTAGGGGCTGGATCCCGCAGTAAAGTGAGGAGAGAGAAGGCCTCCTTGGCCTCCCTGAAACGAGCTAGTGCGGATGTGGAGCTCCTGGCAATGCGAGGTCCCATGGGCAAAGAGACCATGGTAACCTTCAGCAACACTTTGCCCCGAGTCGCGAGTGGAAACAGCCCCATCTCCCCCTCGGATGAGCCCATCATTACACAGCGTCATATGACCTTCCATGTGCCCTTTGACCCTCAGAGATCTCAGCAACTGGTGTCAGAGTGGAAGCAGCGCTCCCTGGAGCTCCGTAGCCAGATTTCCAGAGATGAAGATGAGGGTGCAATTGAAGGAGACCAAGGGGGTGAGGGTGTAGCAGCTGGAGGAGACAAAGAAAACAAGGGGATGCCTTCATCTTTGTATCCTACTGTGCAGGCCAGCAACAGCACAGCTACACCAGCTATAGCCAGGATGGCTGTGGCGCCCCCTTTAGTTCACATCCCAGAAGAAGCCTTGCGGCCACCGCCTGTCTCCCCAAAGAGTGCCAAGACAAGGGCCAAGTGGTTGTCACTCACAGAGGGGGGAGGGGTGCAAGAGCATAAAGAACAAGGTGAAAGAACAGGACCCATTGCAGTGTCCACCCCCCGTGTACCCATCACACTGCCAAGCCAGCACCCAAGCAAGCAAAGAGTCACTCAGGTGAGACAAAGATCAGAAATATATGTTGAAACAAATTCTGTATTGCTTTACGTTAGGTGTGTTAATAGTTTATAGTAGCTCTGAGTAGTTCACCCCTAACGCATACATTGAAAACTTTGCAGTGCAAGATGTTTTTGTTTAAAACTTTGTCATTAAATGTCAGATTCACTCCTGTTTATATGTTGTGAAAATATGAACAATGAGACACATTTTAATAAAACTTTCAGACTGTAATCGTTGAATGTGCTTGTACAAACAACAGACCAAACTTAATCATGCATACTTATCAATCAATCAATCAATCAATCAATCAATCAATCAATCAATCAATCAATCAATCAATCAATCAATCAATCAATCAATCAACTTTATTTTATTTCTATAGCACATTTTAAAAACCACAAGGGCAGCCAAAGTGCTGTACAATAAGACAAATTAATCAAGACAATGAAAACACACAAAGCATACACAAAGAAACATAAAAACATACACATACCAGTTTCAAGGCAGGTGTGTTAAGATGCCATAAAAGATAAGATCACACGTTAAAAGCCAAATAATAAAAGTGTGTTTTTAAAAGAGATTTAAAAACAGAAAGAGAGAAGGCCTGTCTGACACTCAAGGGTAAGTTGATCCACAACCTGGGAGCAGCAACAGCAAACGCTCTGTCACCTCTGAGCTTCAGCCTAGTTTTAGGGACTGTCAGCAGCAACCGATAAGCTGATCATAGGGATCAGGTTGTGCAGTAAGGCTGAAGCAGCTCAGACAGATATGGTAGGGCAAGGTTGTTTAAGCATTTAAAAACAAATGGGAAAAGCTTAAAATTAATTCTGTAGTGCACAGGGAGCCAATGAAGGGACGCCAGGATGGGCGTAATGTGGTAAAGAGGTGAAAAAGCGAGTGCAGGCAGGATGGAGTGAATGGAGAAAAGTTTCAGGGAGTGATTTGCAACTAAAAGCTGTCAGCAAAGGTTAAAGGAAAAGTTTACAAGACATTTGTGAGACCAGCTATGTTGTATGGTCTAGAGACAGACATGGACAAAAAGACAGGAGACAGAACTGGAAGAGGCAGAAATGAAGATGAGGTTCTACTTAGGAGTGACAAAGATGAATAAGATTAGGAATGAGATCATCAGAGGTGCAGCACAGATTGAACAACTGGGAGATAAAGTGTCTGTTTTCACCTTCTCGTTCCTTTCAAACCCAGCTGGTTGAAGCAGATGGCTGCTTGTCCTGAGCCTGGTTCTGCTGGAGGTTTCTTCCTCATGAGGGAGTTTTTCCCTTTCCACTGTTGCATCTGTTCTTGCTTAGGATGAGTCTACAACAAAGTGTATACTCAAAGCAATCTGCTGTCTCCTAAGATAAATATTGTTAACTGATTTTTATGTATGTGAATGTTTCCGTTCAATGCCATTAGACAACTTCTGTTGTGAATTGGTGTTATATAAATAAACAGAATTAAATTTAAATTGAATTAAAACTAGAAAGTTCAGACTGAGATGGTTTGGACATGTCCAGAGCAGGGACAGTGGTTTGGACATGTCCAGAGCAAGGATAGTGGGTAGATTGGTATAACCATGTTAGAAATGCTGCTGCCAGGAAAAAGACACAGGAGATATATGGATGCAGTTAGAGAGGACATGGAGGTAGTTGGAGTGAGGACAGAGAACACAGAAGACAGAGTGAAATGGAGGAGGATGACTTGCTGTGGGGACCCCTGAAGAGGGAAAAGCTGAAAGAAGAAGATTGAGCTAACATTTACAGTGGTAGTAGCTGACAGTTATTTACAACACATACTTAAAGCACTAATACATCACATGGCATCTTGCAATACAATGTGAAATCCCCAATGTTATTTTCAAACTTTATTCTAAAAAGTAATGTCATTATTTCTCTTTATCTTGTGTCATTTAAATGGTGGTAAGTAATACACATTATTTCAAGGAGTGCTGGGTTTTTAATTTTCTGAAAAAATTAAGTTGCTTCCAAATGTGTTGCATATAGGAGAGCTTTAGCAACTGGTTTTATGGATGGATGCACTTTGATGAGATTTCCTTATCTGCAGGTCATGGCCATATCAAAGCAGCAGGGTAAAGGACTTTCATTCACTAAGACGTCAGACGGTGGCTCCTCTTCCGGTGGTGGCTCCAACTGCCCCGAGTCACCATATTACCGCATCCCATCTGACCAAGACATGGGAAGCAACCCCGGGAGCATCGCCAGCAGCGGGAGCATCGTCACCATTGATGCTCATGCTCCTCACCATCCGGTGGTGCGCGTGTCAGCCAGTAATGGCAAGCCCTGGGAATGGAGGAACACCATCAGCGGCAACATGACAGCCTCCAACGTGATGGGCAACAAACATAACATGGCTCTGCAGCGGCAGGACAATGTAAGCCACTACAGAGACTACCAGACACTTCCGGTGAAAACGGACTCCATCTGCTCGTCCATAACTGAAGGAGGACCAGAGCTACTTCCCCCACCCCACCCCACTGTCTCCTCTCCCCTGCCTCCTCCACTTCATCTATCATCATCCCCTCTTCCTCCTCCTCCATCCCCTCAGCCACCCTCCTCTCCCTTACCTCCCCCTCTTTCCTCCACCACCCATATGCCTCCACCTCCCACTTTGGTACCGTCCTCCCACATGCCCCTACCTCCTCACCCATTCTCTTCCCCGCTGCCTCCTCCCCCACATTCCTCCTCCTCCATGCCTCCACCCCCTCACTCGTCCTGCTCCGGCATGCTCACCCCTCCTCCACACCCTGACCTGCTGATAGATGGCTTCGGCCAGGCCCTGCCGCGCTCCTCCACCCTGCCTCGCCAGCCCACCGTTTCTGCCTGCAGCCACGCCGAACAGGAGCACTACTACAAGACCCTGCAGAATGAGAGGATGTTATAGTAAATAGGAAAGCCATCATTATAATACAGGATTAAAAAAAGGAAAAACTGGACGAGACCGTTAAAGACACGCGGGATAAAAAAAGATGAGTTTTGGAATGAATATACAAGGTTTAAAGCTATTGAAGAGGTTGGGGACATTTGGGAGCCCCCTAACTCAGCAGGGAACCAGCTTTTTTTCTCCTTTTGTTCTTTGCTCACGCACTGCCACAGCTCTTGCTGTAACTGGAGAAAGATTCAACAAGATGAGAAAGGGGACTGAACATTCAAAAAACAAAACCATGATTTTACTTCTGGTTTTTAGCAGCCTCAGTGTTTTTTAAAGACACATTCATAAAAAAGAATGAAGAGGCTGCATAGAATATTGTGAGGACATCACAATACGACTGTCTGCTACATGGAATGTCCTTGGAGAGAGGAGAGGGGATAGTGCTGAATAAACAACTATAGACTATTTAATTTATTAATTTTTATTTAACCAGGGAAATCCCATTGAGATCACAGAGCTCTTTTGCAAAGGAGGCCTGGACCTGAAGGCAGCCTAACACGCATGTTTTCGGTCTGTGGGAGGAGACAACCGGAGTACCTGGAGAAAACCCATGCAAGCACGAGAAGAACATGCAAACTTCACACAGAATGACCCCAGGTCCAACCAGGAATTGAACCCAAGACCTTCTTGCTGTGAGGCAACAATGTTAACCACTGATCCATCGTGCTGCAATACTAAATCCTTTAAAACTAGCTATCACTTAATGATTGAATGAACTTAATCATTTATCCTGGCAAAGCATTCTTATGTAAAAACAGCAAAGAAGTAAAGTCAGTAAGAATTTTTTTCATTAACCTTTATTTATACAGGTTAATCCCAATGAGCCTTGGGGGATCATTTACAAGAGAGGTCTGATTTCTTAACAAAGAGTGTTGACAACAGTGAATAACAACGACAACAATACAGTCATAAAATAGGCATAGGCGTACAAATTTGTTTCTTTTTCTTTTTCTTATTTTTTTTTTACAAATTAAAATAACATATCAACCAAAAGGACAATCAAGAGGAATAGTAGCAAAAAACAGCTAGATTATAAGGCAATTGAGAAAACTACAAACAGGAACATGTCTGTATTGGTTTTTGCCAGGAATAAAGGAATAGAATGACTATTTTTTAAGTGATGTCCACACTGTTATGAATAAGTACTGTATCAGTTGTGACATCAGCCATGGAGCTCAGAGTGTAGGGAAAAAGGGCAGAAGTCTTTGTCCAAGCTACACTACAAAGCAAAGGATCGTGTTGTTCATAATTTTTCAGACTTCTAAAACAGCTGTTCTAAAAACAACTGAACAATGTGAAAAAAATACTACATTAGATAACATTAAATTGTCACTGTTTTCTCATCTATGGCACAATTGGTAGAGCTGTTGCCTCTCAGCGAGAAAGTCACCAGTTCAAATCCCAGCCGGGGATTGTTCTGGGTGGAGTTTGCATGTTCTCTCTGTGCATGTGTGTGTTTTCTCCAGGTATTCTGATTTCCTCCCACAGATCAAAACATGTATGTTAGGCTGATTGGTAACTCTAAACTGTCCCTAGTTGAATGTGAGAGTGAGATTGAATGCTTGTTTGTCTTGTTTGTCTCCATGTGTCCCTGTGATGGACTGGAGATCTGTCCAGGAAATCCCCCACCTCTTGCCCAGTGACTGCTGGATATGGGCACTAGTGACTTGAAAAGGAAGAAGCGGGTAAAAACAATGGATGGATAGTTGTTTTCTCAATTAAACAATGTCTGTTTTTTGTGCAAATATCGGCCTCGTGAACATTTTAGTTCACCATGATTTGATTGAATGGACTGAGCAGACGTGCTGGTCGGTTCTACTAATACAATCAACACAGGTGTTCAGTTGAGAAAACTGGAAGAAACTTAACAAATGGTGTCATGCAAAAAGAGATTATTCTTCTTCTTTCAGCTTTTCTCTTTTCAGGGGTTGCCACAGCGAGTCATCCTCCTCCATCTCACTCTGTCCTCTGCATCCTCTGTCCTCACTCCAACTACCTCCATGCCCTCTCTAACTGCATCTATATATCTCTTCTTTGACCTTCCTCTGTCTTTTCCCTGCAACTGCATTTCTAATATCCTTCTACCAATATACCCACTGTTCCTCCTCTGGACATGTCCAAACCACTGTCCCTGCTCTGGACATTTTTTTTCATTTACCCTACCTAATCCCACCTCCACTTACAGGTAGTCTTATTGAGTCACGAGAACTCATTTTTAAGAGTGACCTGTTTTGGGGAGCAAATTGTGTGGGTTATAGGCCTTGCTCAGGGGCCCAGGGTGGGGTAAATGAGGGTGGAGGCAGGTATGGGTGTTTCACTTTTTACACCCACATTTTTATATTGATGGTACTGGGAGTTGAAACTTTGACTTTCCTATCACAGGCCCATCTTCTCTAACCTCTGCACCATGCAGAGGTTCACATTTTACATTCGAGAGGTCCAAACCATCTCAGTGTGTCCTCTCTAACATTATCTCCCAGTTGTTCAACCTGTGCTGTACCTCTAATGATCTCATTCCTAATCTTGTAAATCCTTGTCACTCCTAAGGAGAACTTCAACATCTTCATTTCTGCCACTTACAGTTCTGTCTCCTGTCTTTTTGTCCATGTTTCTGTCTCCAGACCATACAACATAGCTGGTCTCACAATTGTCTTGTAAACTTTTCCTTTGACCTTTGCTGACACCCTGTTGTTGCAAATCACTCCTGAAACTTTGATCCATCCATTCCATCCTGCCTGGACTCTCTTTTTCACCTCCTTACCACATTCTCCATTTTCTTGGACAGTGGATCCCAAGTATGTTAAGCCCTGCACCTTTGTGACCTCTGCTCCTTGTAGCCTCACTGTTCCACCGGCCTCCCTCTCATTCACACACATACTCTGTCCTACTACGGCTGACTTTAATTCCTCTTCTTTCAAGTGCATACCTCTACCTCTCTAAGTTCTCTTCCACATGTTCCCTGTTCTCACCACAGATCACAATGTCATCTGCAAACATCATAATCCACGGGGATTCCTGCCTGACCTCATCTGAGAGTCGGTCTGTCACAAGAGCAAACAAGAAGAGCTCAAAGCTGACCCTTGATGCAATCCTACCTCCACCTTGAAGCTCTCTGTCACCACTACAGCACATCTTGCCACTGTCCTGCTATCCTCATACATGTCCTGTACCAGTCTAACATACTTCTTTGCCACTCCAGATTTCCTCATGCAATAACACACCACCTCCCTCTGCAACCTGTTATATGCTTTTTTCTAAATCCACAAAGCCACAATTGAGTTATTTCTGTCTGTCTATGTACTTCTCCATCAGCATCCTGAAAGCAAAGATGGTATCTGTGGTGCTCTTTCTTGGCATGAAACCATACTGCTGCTCACATATAGTCACCTCTCATCTAAGTCTAGCTTCCACAAGTCTCTCCCAGATATTCATTGTGTGACTCATCAAGTTAATTCCCCTGTAGCTTCTACAACTCTGTACATAACCCTTGTTCTTAAAATTGGGCACCAGCACACTTCTTCTCCATTCGTAAGGCATTTTCTTACCCTCAAAAATCCCATTGAATATTTGAGTCAAAAACCTCACTTCCATCTCTCCAAGTAATTTCCAAACTTCTGTCAACAGGTATGTCATTAGGTCTTACTTCCTTCCCCTTATTCATTCTTTTCAGAGTTTTCCAGACTTCTCCCTCACCAATCTTTACCACTTCCTGGTCCACAATTTCTATGACCTCTACTCTTTCTCGTTCATTCTCTTCATTCATTAACTCTTCAAAATACTCATTCCATATTATGCTCACACTCTCCTCACTTGTTAGAACATTACTATTCATATCTTTAATAAGCCTAACTTGCTGCACATCTTTTCTAGTCTGATCCCTCTGTCTTACCAATCGGTACAAGTCCTTTCTGCCCTCTTTAATGTCCAGCCTCCCATACAACTCATCATACGCCTGCTTTGCTTTTGCTACCTCCCTCTTTGCTCTACATTTCATCTCCTTATATTCCTGTTTCATCTCTTCAGTCCGCTCGCTGTCATATTTCTTCTTGGCTAACTTATTTCTTTGAATAGCTTCATGCACTTCACTATTCCACCCCCATGTTTCCTTATCATTCATTCTCTGTCCAAATGACACACCAAGAACCTTCCATATCTGTCCCTCTAATACTGTTGCTGTAGTAGCCCAGTCATTTGGAAGCTCTTTCTTACTACCCAGAGCCTTTAACAGCTTCTCTCTGTCTTTCTCACAACATTCTTCCTTCTTCAGCTTCTACCATCTGGTCTTCTTCTCTGATTTTACTCTTTTTCTCATCTTCACAACAATAGTCATTCTATACACAACCATCCCAATGCTGTCTGGCCACTCCCCCCCCCCCCCCCCCCACACACACATATATACACACACACACACACACACCCCTGCCACAACCTTACAGTCCCCAATCTTCCTATCTCCCTCAGGTTTCCTCTTCTACACAGAATGTAGTCGACCTGTGTACTCCTTCCTCCACTCTTATAGGTCATTCTGTTCATCCCTCTTTTGGAAATATGTGTTGAGTACAGCTTTTTCCATTCTCTTGGCACAATCCACCACCAACTGTCCTTCCTGGTTTATTTGCTTGACTCCAAACCTACCCATCACTTCCTCATTCCCTCTGTTTCCTTCACCAACATATCCATTCAAGTCTGTTCCGATCACCACTCTCTCCCTGGAAATACTATATCACTTCATCCAGATTCTTCCAAAATTTATCTTTGTCCTCCACATCACATCCAACCTGTAGAGCCTAACCACTGACAACATTTATCATCAGACCTTCTTCTTCTACCTTCAGACACATCACCCTATCTGACACTCTTTTCACCTCTACTACATTCTTTGCCATCTCCTCCTTCAGGACCACCCCTACTCCATTTATTTTTCTATCCAAACCACGGTAAAACAGTTTAAATCCTGCTCGAGTGCTGTGAACATTGCCGCCCTTCCACGTTGTCTCTTGGACCATAAAACATTTATCTTCCTTCTCTGCATCATGTAAGCTAGCTCTCTATTTTTGCCTGTCATTGTCCCCACATTTAGAGTTGCAAACCTCAGTCCTACATTCTTGACTTTCCTTTTCTCCCTCTGTCTCCTGACATATTTTCCTCCTCGTGGTCTTTGACTAACAGTAGCAAAATTTCCACTGGCACCCTGTTTTTCAGCAGCACTGGTTGCAGTCGTTATAAACCCAGGCCTCAACTAATCCCATATGGTTTTGTTTTGATGAACTTGCATTATAGTTTTGGCAAGTGTTTACATTAGATTCCCTTCCTTACACAACCCTCACCATTTATCTGGGCTTGGGACTGGCACAAGAGATACACTGGTTCTTGCTCCCTTGTGGCTGGTTTCAAAAAGAGATGTTTAATTTCAGCTAATGTAAAGTTCTTTCACACCAAATTTTTT